ATGTATCTGTATTTGTGTGGAAGTGGGTTTCTGTGCCAAAAAGGGGAACACCCTGCATAAATTCCAACTTAAATACAACCTTTCAGCCCTATGCCCAGGGAAAGAATTGGCACCGTTTACTGCTTTCTGCAAAAACTTTAAGATGAGACACCAGGCCGCTCATTTGCCTTTCATGGCAGAACACGTTTGCACAAGACCTTTAAGCCACTGCACTGTGAAAAGCTTCTAAAGAGAAGTCAGAAATGTTATTTCAACATTTCTTTGTTTCTCATTCTGCTGGGTCAACTTTCCCCCTCCATACATTCTTCTTTAGCTTTGGACTTCTGTGTGTGGTTGTGTTCCCCACCCCAACTCCTCCTTAAAGAGGTTTACTTAACGCAAATTCCCACCTCACCCCATCCCCAGAGGAAATGAGCAGGTATTTCCCTGTGGAGAAATCTCATTTATAGCTGGGGATGGGTCCCAGGATACACTGACAGTCCTCTGTGACCCAGCCCAGGTGCTTTATCTCAGGAGCAAGAGTGTGCCCCTAAGAACCCACCCTCTAAAGGCAGGCAGGCCCTTTTGAAGTCCTCAGGTTTAGTGGGGCAAGCCCCAGTCTGAGTGAGAAAAGTAAAACCTCAGGATGGTGGTGTGCCATGTCAGAGAAAGTGGGAGGGCCTAATTGCTGCTCTCATTTGTGCCCTGCTCCTCCCCTTCCCTTAGGGAGAGGTGCTTTCAGGGCTGGTTTTCTCCTGGCAAACCGAAGAAGGAGGTAATGTGAGAACCCGCTTCCAGAAGCAAGCTATCTGTGGACCCTGGGTTTTGTGAGTGTTAGGCTGAGGAGTGGAGGTCAAGGCAGATATAAATTGTTTCTTTTTCTCGAAATATTCTTTGAGTCCTGAGCTGTTGTTGCAGTGAAAGAGCGCTCCAGGAGCTCAGGGATGCAGGGCTCTGCCCCTGGTGTGGCCACAAATGACCTCATGGCCATGACGAGTCTGTCAATCTGTCAAGCGGGTAGAACCAGCGTTCTAGGCTGCTTTTGTGCTTTGCAGACTGTCAAGTTCTAGTTGTGTGCAGGCTTGGCATTCCTGACCCGACGCGGGTGGTGCCTTTTGGGCAGGACACTGACCAGTCCGACCTGCTTGCTGGTGTGGCCCCTCCTCACAGGTGTGACTGTGGCTGCCTGGCCAGGTCCTGTCATTCATCAAAATTAGTGGCTTTTAACCAGGGGAGGTTGCCCCCAGGAGACATTTGGCCATGCCTGGTGACATTTCTGGTTGTCACCACAGGGGTGGCAGTGGGGGAATTACTCCTGGCATCTAGTGGGTAAAGGCCAGGATGCTGCACAGCACAGGGAATTCTGTGGTCTAATATGTCAATGCTTTTATCCCCCACTATTCAAAAATTTGAGTTCTGCCACTGCATTTTTGTGAAGACCTATATTAGCACCTGTTTTCACTAACTGAAAGAAATCTGAAGAAGATTTTTGCTTTTACAAAAAAAGCCAAAAAGTGCAAAGGCCTTCAGCATGTTTTGCAGCGAGCTGTGAGAGAGGTAACTTGCAGCCCCAGCAGCAGCAAGTCCTTCCCTGGAACTACACTGGGCATCTCGGCATCAAGCCGCCAGAGCTCTGAGCTGTGCCTGCAAGCATCTGCGCTTTATCTTGATTTATTTTATGTGTCCGTTTGCAAGTTGTGTCCTACAGTGTCAAAAAGCTTAAGAAAGGTTATTTGTGGGGTCTGGGAAAAACTCAAAAATTTTTCTGTATAGATTAATGGTTAATTCCTTCTTGGAGAAGCCTGTAGTGCCACTGTAGAGAAACCCTGAAAAAAACTAAATTTTCAGTGAAGCCCTGGACAGAAGCTAGATCTGCCTTCTCATTTAGGTTTTATCCTAACCGTTCACTCCACTCACCCTGTACTGGCTGGAACAACTCTATAGCCTCAATCCACTTGGTCCACAGCAAAGCTTTCCTTACCCCTTCCTCTTCACCCTGCCCCCACTTTTAAATCACCTATCACCCCACTGGCCTTCCTTTGCACAGTTTTCTGTATTTCTGATGTACTGAGTTGTACTTTGTTGCATGGTCCTCTCTCAACAGGATCCACCACAAAGGCGGGATCTGCTGATGCCCTCCGTGTGCTCTAGGATACAGGTTGGCAACCCTTAGAAACCCTTGGAGCTTGTAAGGAAAACACAAGTCCAAAGGGACATTGCAATTTGGGTTTGCTGTTCAGAGGCACTGAGATACTGTGATATACAGTCTGGGGGAATTCACAACTCTAAAGCCCTCCCCCCTGACCCCCAGATGAAAGCCCCTAATGTAGTGCTCTGGATGTCATTCCACATCAATACCAAGGCTGTTACAAGTATGAAGCGTGGATAAGAGTGTGTGTGCATGAGTGCATGCATATTTAAAGTTTAGATCTTTTCTTTTTAGAGATCATCTCTAATCCAGTCGTCATAAGAGTGGCACCAGTGGTCATGAAGACACACTCTCACCCATGATGGAAAAGAGAAGGAATAGATTGGCAGTAGAGTTCAGCTTGTTTAGAAAAACCAGAGTAAGCACCTAAAAATGCATTTATTTACATTAATAGAGGCTGTAGCAAGAGCTTTTTGCCTAAGGTCACTGTCCACACAAATGCTAAGTAATACCTTTTCTATTTGTGTAGTTTGGTGAGGTTCCCTGTTCTCTGTATTTAGGTTGAAGGTAGAGTGGGTGATATGTAAAGAAAACCAAATAATTCAGAGTATAAATAGTCCTACTTGAGCTTCACAAGAAAAAGTTCTGAAATGATTCCTAGATGATAAATATTTGTTGTACGTTTGAGTTCATGAATGTGGGGTGGTTTGGGGCTTTGGGTGGGGGAAGAGGTACAGGTGGTACTTTCCTGTACACTTTCCACCAGAGTTCGTCTCATTCCTAGAATTATTCCTGGCCAGCTGTGGTAAACAGCCCATTCTGAAGCATCCTTAGATCCAAATATTAAGGGCTTGTTTCAGCCAGAGACTCTGCCAGGCTCTGGGCTAATTCTTGCTATTTTTATTACGTGTGTGTGTTTTTAAACTGGGCAGAAATGCCTCACCCACCACTCACAGAAGAACATCAGTAGGCTCTCTGGTCCTAGCCACACCATAGATTTAAACACAGTTAACAGGGATTTGTTTTCTAGGGCCTTACCTTATTAGGAACACAAAAATATATATGGATAAGTAAGTTTGTTTCTCCTTCTGATTAATTTTTTTTATACCCATGCTTTTTAAATTAGCCCATGGTTTAAAAAGATGCATAAGGAATTCCTATGGACAAAGTAAAGAACAGTGAAGTATGGCCACTAATTTCTATTGAAGACTTCTGTAATCCACTTTAGGTACGGGTGAGGCATGAACTGCAGGTTCATTCCTTAAGCCACCTCTTCTTCCCTTATTAGGGGAGACTCATCTCCCTAAGAGTGGAGACTGCCTTCTTTGCTTCTGTATCCTCTCTGTCACTATAAGGGTCTTATATGGAGGGGGTGTCCTGTGCCTGCTTGTTGCTAGTGATAAACTCAGCTGTATGGATTACAATTTGACCTAGTCAAAGTTTCTAAGTCAGGGTAGAGAGAAGCAAAAACAGCTGTGAGGGTTTGTTTTGCCTCATTTTTTTAGCAATTGGACACAGCATCTTAGAATGACATGGCCCTGCCCTCCCTCATTTGTTGTCTTCACTGTCTCAGTGTGAGGTGGGGGGATCCGAGTGGGGTAACCCAGACAGTTTGCCTGCTACCCAGACACTGTGCCTGTGGGGATGAGGCTAATGAGTTTCACAGGAAAAGGTGGTTAAGGATTCCTATTTCTTTACAAGACAACAGTGTAGTGGGCACACGTCTGCTTGTGTGCTGCTTCTCCATCTGGTGCCTGGGAGTCAACACTGCCATTATTGTGGCAGTGTTGTGTGTGAGAACAGAAGTCTCATTCCTTTCAGGGCGGTCTTTTCCCATGATAGGTGTGACTGACCCATCAGGAATGTCATCCGAGTGCGGGGGAGGAAAGGTTCTGTTCCTGCCCTAGTAAGGCAGTGTCTGCGGGCCAGACCGACCACGTCAGAAAACACTTCTGGGACAAACACTTCTGTGGACCCACTCTAGTTCCCTTTCTTCCTGGGCCTGTCATGAGGACCTCACATACCTGGTCAGGAAAAGATGTGCACTTGGACTCAAGGAAGTGGTCTGGGGAGAGCCCAGCCGGCTGGGAGAGAGGTGTGAGGCCCTTCTCACTTTAACTAACTAACGTCCACTGGCTGGAAGGAAACTAACCAGCAGTCTCCCGAGTTCCGTATGCAGCTTCTCAGAGGTGACTTCCTTTCACCCAAAAAGTATGTCCAGAGCCTCTGGGGAATGGGGTTAAAAGGTGAAGAAGGTGGGGTAGCATTTCTAGCAACGTGAGGGGCCTCCGGCCTCTTCTGCCCTCCGCTGGTCATCCCAGCAGGCACGAGCAGGGACCATGGGCCACCTTTGCACAGCCGGCCTGCCAGTCACCAGCCCGAGCCAGGAAGAAGTGGAGGGGACAACAAAGAGCAATTACACCTTCAAAATTGTATTTAGGTGAAAACTAGTCTGGAGGTAATATACGTTCCTTGCCTAAGCCTACCCCTAAGCAATTTCAAATTATTTTAAAATTTCTTTAAATTCACAGAAATTCAGGGGAAGGCGAGGTTTTATAGGGCTGGTTCAAAAGAACCTGGCTGAGATGTTTAGAATAAGAACACATTAGTTCTCATGTCTTAACAATGTTGGAATGGGGGCATGGAATGCAGCCCATTTCTGGTTCATGATTTTATGTGCGGTAATAATGGTGACGAGTAGGTACTGAGACTTGGAGTTGTAAATATTTAACTCATTCTGAGCAAAAGTAGTTGAAGTAAGAGTTTAACCCCTAGAAACCTTAAGAGGTGAATGCTTATAGAGGTTTGCACCAATACGTTTTGAGAATGGTGCTCAATGTGTGGCTCAACGTGTGTCTTTCCGTCCTTGCAGTACGCCACCACAGGCTGTTCCCTCACTCTGCACCACACAGAGAAGCCAGAACACGAAGACATCTGTGAATACCGTCCCTACTCCTGCCCTTGTCCTGGTGCCTCCTGCAAGTGGCAGGGGTCCCTGGAAGCCGTGATGTCCCATCTCATGCATGCCCATAAGAGCATTACCACACTTCAGGGAGAAGACATTGTCTTTCTAGCTACAGACATTAACCTGCCGGGGGCTGTTGACTGGGTAATGATGCAGTCCTGTTTTGGTCATCACTTCATGCTGGTGCTGGAGAAACAAGAGAAGTATGAAGGCCACCAGCAGTTCTTCGCCATCGTTCTGCTCATCGGCACCCGCAAGCAAGCCGAGAACTTTGCCTACAGACTGGAATTGAATGGGAACCGGCGGAGACTGACCTGGGAAGCCACGCCCCGGTCCATCCATGACGGCGTGGCCGCGGCCATCATGAACAGCGACTGCCTTGTTTTTGACACAGCCATAGCACACCTTTTTGCAGATAATGGGAACCTTGGAATCAATGTGACTATTTCTACATGCTGTCCATGATGCCCTGAAATTATTTGGGCATCATGCTCCATGGTTAATAAAGGTTTTTATAGATGTTTTATTCACTATGTCTTCACAAGTCAAGACCCACAGCCACCCTGTGTTCTATTTTGAACAGCAACTTCCCATCTGGCATCAGCCCAACAAAGTTCATTAAACTGGGATGAATGGGGTTGGCCTGTTAGTCATCTGGATACTGGCTGTTCTGTGATCTAAAATCACCTTTACTATTAAATTTTATTTACTTCCTGAACAGCACTTGACAGGCTGCTCAGGGCTCCCGCACACCAGTACGCTTGGAGCTGGAGGCTCCTGCCCACCTGCCTCTCTGTACTGGGTCCTCCAAGATGGCAAAAGCACAGTGACTGTCAGCAGGTTTCTTGACTTGACTTCTGTTTTGTTTTTAGGGGATAGGAATTGTTTTGATGCATTTTAAACAGTGTTTCTCAAACTGGATGGCTAACCAATATGCATAGAATCACCTGGAGTACTTCTCTTAAACGTGCAGATTTGGGGAGCCTATGAATTTAAGTCTCATCGGGTGATTCTTTTCAACAATAAGGTTTGAGAATTACTGGGTTATATTGTGGAAAAGGGTCCAGATTTTAAAGGTGCTTTAAGATTGCCCTCTACTGATACTCTTTGTCCTTCTACTATTTTATCCCCCAACAGCTCCCTACCCCCAAATTAAAACTAGAACTACAGACCCCCATGAACACACTCCTGAGATCTGGTCACTCTTGTGCTTGGGGTGGACTGCCTAGGAAAGCGAGCCGTATGGCCATTGATAGTTCTCGTAGTTTTTGCTCATCACTAGTACAGATGTCCTGTTTACACATGGCTTCCTCTGGAGGCCCTTCTTGACCGTAGATGATGGGAAAGACTAGATCAGTAGAGTTGGAAAAGTTTTATAACCAGTGTCATATGCTTGCTATTTAAAGGTATGTATTGTTTTGTTTTGGGTTTTTTTTGCCATATTCACTTTAGTTTTTTAATAAATATTTTCCAAAAATGAATATCATGCTTCATTTTCTAGGTGGAATAATGTGTAAATTTATTAGATACCTACTGTGTACAGGTACATGAAGCTTCACCACTACCTTGGGCTGGGAGCTCTCACTTTTTCACATGAAGAAACAGTCATTTGTCCAAGGTCATGGCACAGGTCAGGGTCCCAACTCACTTCTCTGAGCTGTGGACTGTCCTTGGAGGTGCAGGTCTCCTCCTTGAAGCTGTCCTTCCTGTCTGACAGTGCCAGTACTTGCGGAAGAAGAGTGTTCCTCCTGTTTTCCAGAATCCAAAGGAAGAGGCTTAGCTAGAGCCGATGTCCAGAGTATGGGGTTTCAGCCAGGGTGACCCACTCTGTCAGTCCCCACCCTAAACTCTCACTCAGAGTATTAGCCCTGTATGCTCAGTGACTAATGAAGACTGCTTACCTTGCAGCCTGATGGCATGAGGGCAGCGTCAGGTTGGAATGATGCCTTTAGAGTTGTTTTGTTTTTTTAGGTGAGATACAGTGCTGAATTTTTAGACAGGATAGAGCCCTGGCAGTTAAGGAAGGTTCTAGGTCATTTTGTTTTTAAGCATATTTGCATAGACATCTTTGCCACACCAGCATTTTTGCTATGTTTTCACTGCATAACTAATTGGCCATAAGGCAATTTCTCCATAAAAGATAAAATCATAAAAAAGAGGGATGTTCATTTAAATGGACATAATGGAACATGAAAAATGAATAACATGATTTAAAAGACTTTATTGCAAAATAAAAAAATATTTGAATATATTTTAAACATACGTAAATTTATGGCAATACTGTGCAGATAACTGGTTTTATTTTGTGAATTGTACCTAAAATAAGCACTTGTCTTCAAAGTCATAGTAATACACATTTTTTTGCTTGTTGATTTGTTTCATTTGGCATCACACTTTTTCTTTTTCACTAAAATTCCTCCCTTCATTAAAAGAGGTATCAGCTTCCAAACCCTAGGATGCACATTTGTAGCTGAGTTTTGTATTGTGTTGTGACAGCCTTCTACACTGTTGTTTGTCTTGGCACAATGTCATATGTCCATGGATGTTCCAGTGTTCTATGGCAAATGTAGGAAAATGCTAAGCCTGTGCCGCATTTGTAACTAAAATTTGTCATCATTGTAATGACATGTTACCATTTTCTAGTCTAGTATAGTATGTGGTTTGGCTTTACACTCTCTTATTTCACTCTTCCAGTAAGTTTTCTCACTGAAATTTTCTATGAAATCGATATACATAGTCATTCTCTACTATTGTTAAGACCACTATTTCTACTCACCACTACATAGACCATCATGAGGAGTAGCTAAGATTTATATAATATAAAAATGAGAACTTTGTCAGTGGAGAAATGAATCCAAATGGGCAACTAGCTTCAATATATTAACTCTGCCAAAGGCAGCTGATTCATCAATGGAAAAATGAAACCAGTTATTTTATCTTTTATGGCAAAATTGCCTCCTGGCCAATTTTATGGTGAAAACACTCGTAGTAAAGATGTCTACAGCAAAGTCATTTACTGCGAAAATACAGGACACACTTAAGGAATTGCTAAAATAACTTACCTTCTAGGCTGTTCTTCAAATAAAGGTGAAAAACAGTGCCCCAAACAAAAAGAAAGTACTTATCACATATTTGATCAGTGAGTGAAAACCACAACTGACACCAAGAAAATCACATTTCAAGCCAATATATAAGGGACTCCATGGAGATGAAACTAGGATCCTGGAGCAGGTGACTCTGGCCCTCAGGGATGGAGCTGGTCTAGATAAGGCAGTCCAGTGGAAGCACGGCACCCAGGCGATGTGTTTTATGTATAAAGCAGCCTTTTGTGCATAAACAGGCCTCATCTGTCATTATCTCATGTCCGTACCCTTTTTTGTTATGCGATGCAGGAAATCAGGACTGATTGGACTCCAAGGTATCAAAGGACAAAGCTATAATTAAAAGGCCACCTTGGAGACAAGTGGAATCAAGCTATTCCCAAAGCATCGAACATTAGGTTTTCAGGCTCGAGCAGTAAACTGATGGGCCAGCAGCCATGCGGTGCCTTAGTGGCAGCACGGATTCTAGAATTCGAACTTCCTGACTTCTGATTCATACAAATGAAAATCAAATTTTAGGCAATGAAACTGAATTATTAATCTTCAGAGTTATTTAGCTCCCTTTAATCTCTGCCACTGGAAACCTGTAAACTTAATTTTTACTCTCTTTTTTGAAACTAAGCATTTTCTGCCAAAAAACAAAAACCCCCAGGTTATTCCCATTTTATGAGGAAGTGAAACAGCTAAAAAGATAATGTAAATTAGCATGTATTTTTATGTCGTTCCAATTGACATGCAATTTAATACACAGTGATAGACATTTGTCAAAACTCATCACTTGGTCCACTTATGTACAACTTTTTTAAAAAACAATTTCTTCTCTTTCCTGTCCTAGTGCTATTTTCTACTTTGAGAGAAATCTAGCTGATCAAGCAAGATGGTAAATTCAGCCTTGTCTTACGATGGCTAAGCTATTTTAAAGAAAAAAAGATTCTTTAGATACCTTGGAAGAACATGTTAATAGTCATTAATTCTGGGTAGCAGGAACCTGGGTGTATGTTATGTTTGTATTTGCATTATTCTGTATTTGAAAAATGTTTTAAAAAACCAGCCAAACTTAAGATCAGAGGTTCCCAACCTTTCTGTGAGGAAAAGCTGGTCTTCGTTTCCCTGAATCCTTAAGATTTAGAGGATTAAGAGTGTGGAGTCATAGTGAACTGCCCAGTGCAAATTATGCAAAACTTCAGACAAGCCACTGAGGCATCAACCATCTTGGAATTATCCCAAGTAGAAGCTCATACTTTACCAACAAACTCAGACTAATGGCTGAGTACCTCGTCTCAGCAGCAAAGTCAGGCAGCTCTCTTACAATACCATTCCTAGGAAATGAACCTAATTTTAGGTTCTTGGGTCTTGCCAAATAACTAGCAGTGTGACCGTAGGTTGGCCAGTTGACCCCTCTGGTCCCAAGTTTCCTAACCTGCAACATTTGAAGGTTTATTTTCTTAATGTTTTTACTGCAGTACTAATTTCTGTAAGACAATTGAGCTATTTAAAGTTCAGGTGTATAAGTAATTGCAGCCAGGTTTGTATGAGGCGGTTCTGAGGTCATTGTGACCCAGCATGCATCAGTAGGCATCAGCAGGTGAGGCACCCTCCAGTTGCCTCCCGGATTCCCATGGTTAGAGCTAAGGATGGTGCCCAGGCACAGTCTGGCTTTGTAGTTCTGCTGGAGAGACCTCCAGTGTTGACCCTGTGTCACTAATGAAGCCTGTACTTAAAGTATGATTATAATTTCACTGATCTGTACTGGCCTAGGAAAAAGGGAGTCAAGAGTTCTTAAAGAATAGGAAATGTAGCTCTGTATAGTTAAACCTTCTGCTTCTGCTACTCATTTGAAGCTTAAAATTTCATATTTGTGAATACTTTGGGTTATCTTGGAATCCCCAACTGGCAAGGCAAGGAAAAAGGTTCGACCTTGTTGACATCAACATCTGCTACTACCACTAATATTATACAGAATGAAAAATGAGTGAATGAATAAGACACTGAGGGAAAGCCACTGTCCCAACCCCACACAACTGGTTAGAAAGTTCTATGATAATGACATGGTATCTTCTGTACTGAGAAAAAGGGAAAAAATTATAAAGCTATTAAAACCACAAGCTGACATTTTATGATAATCAAGGCAAAGGAAGGGAACTTGCTCCCAGTCTTGATTCCAATTTCTCCCCAGGTCCCTGCCACCATCTGGGCCTGAGCACTGTGAAAGCTCCTAACTGCTTGTCCTCCGTCTTGCCCTGCTCCAGTCCATTCTATATGTTGGCAGTCAGAGGCTCTTTAAATGAAAATTGATGATGTCACGAGATCTTTGATATTTTCTTTAGGATGCCCTATATTATTTTCCTTCATAGCACTTTCCACAATTGCCACTGGATATATATTTTACTTTTTCAATGTCTGTCTCCCCTTGACAAACTTGAACATAACAAAATTGTTATATTCTTGTTCATCTCTGTTCTCTAGCACCTGGGCCCCCAATTACAGTCTGACTGAATAAATTACTACCAATGGTTAGTCTAATAACAGCATTGAAGCCAACACCTTAAGAGTTACTGATCTCTCTGTTTATACCCAGAACCACTGTGGAATTTGCTGCAGGAAGGCAGGAAATGGAGATGGAGAGATAATCTCACAATCCAGAGAAGGGAGGAGACAACAAAGGGCTTCTCTGCTCCTGTCTTTCTCTAGCCTTGGACAGAAATCCTGGCCTGAGGCTCTAGGCCCTGAAATTTCTTATGTCCTAATGTCACCTGACATTCAGATCAAAGGCAGACTGTGTTTGATGATCTTGCAAAGGGCACATACTAAGTTTCCTTTAACCTCTTTATTACAAGATTAGATCAGCTTGCAAAGTCCACCAAGATAACAGCAGTTGCCATCTATTGAGCATCTATTGGTACAAAGTGCTTTGTCTGTATTAACCTGTTTAAACTTCCCATATCCCAGTGGGATATGGGTTTATTATCCTCAGTATGGAGTAGAGGAAATTAAGGCTCAGGGAGATTAAGTAATTTGCCTAAACTCACACAGCCAATAAACAAGAGAACAGTGATATGAACACATTGCAGAGTCCACACCCCATTCACCAGATTATGTGCTGAATCATGACTGATGTTTGCCTTTCAAATATTTTGACCCCAACAGAAATACTGCTTACATGTAACAGATAAGGATGAACAGGACGTAGGGATGCAGGATGCTTGGTGGATACAGAACACCTGTGCTTTAGAACTGCTTGCTCCACTGTCACAGCATCTTTGATGGGGTCAGAAACCTAGAGATCATTCAGCCCGTCACTACTCAAAGTGTGGAGCATGGACCAGCAGAATCAGCATTACAGAGCCTGTTAGGAAAACACCCCAGACCTACAGAATCAG